TGCTGTGATTTTCCTTTGTACAGCGTCCGGTGGTAGCAAGGGCACGATCCGAAGCTTCAGATCATCCTGCCCTGTCCTCAGCAGATGCCAGTGCTGGGTCCCTCTCCAGCTCCTCTTCCATGCCTGGAGCTCCAGGTTGCAGGGGCTTTTCTTTTGTCGCTGCCTCCTTCCTCTTCTTAGACCGCCCCCCCGAGGGAGTGTTCTTGGGACTTTCTTCTTCTTCTGTGCTTCGGATTATTCTGAACTCCACTAATTTACTAAGATTTTTTTAAGAGGTGCAGAACCTAGGCTAAGGTATCCTTCTTGGAGCGGTAGGGCTGTCCAAACTGGAGAGGTGGTCTTGCTCTGCTCCAGGTCAGTTGCACAAAGATTTGCAGAGCCCTGCCTGGAGCAAAAGGAGACATGACCTAGCCATCTTGGATGACTTTCCCCACTGAAGGAGAATGCTTTTTTTTTTTTTTAGTGACACAGGATACTAGTTTACATATTTTAATGGTTAATATTGAAGCTACAGAAACCTGGCACATGAACTATTTTTCAGCTCCTAAGAGCAGTCCTGAGGATTGGGCAGGATGGTGGGTAGATTGGGTAAGGTAACAGATTCCACTGGTTCCTAATGCCAGGAGAAATCTGCCATCTGCAAACCTTCTAGACATGAATGGCATCCTTACATCTTGATTCAGGAGCATGTAATTTATGATATTTTCCATGTAGTTCTCAGGGAAAGTTTGACCCCCCCCCCCAAATCTGTGAAATTTGAGAAAGGACTGGTCTATTCCAGATGCTTCTGTAACAGTCCCCTAGCACACATTCAGTTTCCTTTTCCCCCTTACAAGCCCCCATCCCTCTCCTTGTCTAAAGCTTACTTTCCAAACACAGTGAAAGGGGGATGGAGACAAAGGGAAGGGCTGCTTCACAGGCCTGGGGAAAAAAAACACAGGTTGCTTACCTGTAACTGATTTGAGTGGTCATCTGTGCAGTCACACCCATGGGACATAGGATCTCCAAATGGATTGTCGAGACTATTAAGCTATGCTACCAGTTGGCTAAGCGCCCATTGCCCTTGCGAGCACACTCTACAAGATCCATGGCTGCGTCCACAGCCTTTTTGAAGGGTGCTTCCCTGTCGGCGATCTGTGGGGCTGCGACACGGTCTACTCCGAACACCTTCATCAAGCACTACGCTGTTGATGTTCGTGAATGCCAAAGAGTGGACCTGGGTCGCCTAGTCCTTTCGTCGGCAGAGCATTGAATTGCGACAGCTCCTACCTCCAGGTGAGCCACTGCTTTTCAATCTCCCATGGGTGTGATGCACAGAGACCACGAAGAAGATAAACAGGTTGCTTACCTGTAACTGATGATCTTCGAGTGGTCATCTGTGCAGTCACACCACCCGCCCATCCTTCCCCACGGCTGTCGCTTCAGTACTTCTCTCTGGTTATTGACATGACAGCGGTCAGAAGGAACTGGTGGGCTGTCCGTGCCCCTCCTCCTTGGGCATGCGCAGTAGGGTTCCCGAGCATGCCTGGAGGAGAGGCGCGAAGATCGCTTTGTGAACTTTGCATACCACCAATTCGGATCAGCGCAGGCGCATAATTCCATGGGTGTGATGCACAGAGACCACGAAGAAGATGAGTGGGTACTGGTTACAGCATCCTGTGTAATGCTTGGAATGTTCTGTGCTGGTTTAATACCTAGCTGAAATTCAGATTTCTTTGAGGTCAGATTGTAAAAAGCTCAGTATTTCAAGCTGTTTAGGAAACTTGACTTTGCATGCAGAACCATATTTTGTACCTTTCAGCAGTCTAAGACAATCGCAGCACACAAACACAGTCCTGGCTAATAGTAATTATCCAAATATAGAATAAATTCACTATAGAGATTGTAGCTAATGAAACACACCATATGCAGAACCTTATTTACATCTGTTCATTCCATGGTGGACCAGTTTGGACCCCAGTTTCAGCCATCAAAATACAGTAGATCTGAATTACTTGACTTTGCATAACTGCAAATAATATGTGATTATCCATCTAATCAGTATCAGAACAAGTTCTTTGTTATACAGACTAAGGGAAAAGTATAATGCACACATGAGTTTACACTACAGTCAAGGATCTGGGGATTATACTACTCTGTAGGCAATGCTTATAGTTAAGTATGCCATTGATAGACAAAATGGTTGATACTATCATTGGGAATGAAGACATGCATTTTTTGGAGAAGAGAGATGTTTCATTACCTATTCCTCTTTATTTTCTTGCAGTTCCTCATATATGGCAGCTATTTTGCTGCAATAGCTGGGATTTTTCTAATCAGAAGCCTTTATACTATTATCTCAATCAAATGCCAAACGAACATTGCTGGAAATCCTCGGACAAATGAAGCAGAAGATCAGAACATCAATGGCTATGCCACAAGATTGTGATTGAGTCCAGATGACTGAGCAGTTGAACAAAAGGAAGGAGGGTCTTGGTTCTACCTGAAATTACTAAAGCACAAAAAACAATACAAGGCTGCATAAAAATCACCAAGCCAAATTATTATCCCATTTAACAGATTTATCTTGTGGGGGGAAAAAATCAAGCCAAATTATTATCCCATTTAACAGATTTGTCTTGTGGGACAAAAAAATAGTTTATTCTATAGAGTAGTAAACCAGTCCCTATTTTACCTCAAAGCTGTGTAAACAAGCATACCATGTTCAAGTTGTGCTGTCTAGCATACTTCATATTTACAAGATTTACAAGATTTGTCTTATTGCAGCTCCCCAACCCACATGGCTTGTCTGGGGCGGGGGTGTGCATGTGTTCCTGACTTTGGGGAGGGGGGTGTCATAGGAAACTGCTGGTGGAGAAAACACATCTTATGCTTGGAAATAACCTACACATAATTCAATTAACCTTTCTTGAGATAGTAGTGGAAGTTCCAGTCCCACTCCCAAAAAACCTTCTTTGGACCCTATGGTCCTTACAAGCTACTGCCCAGTGTCTAATCTACCATTCCTGGGTAAGGTAGTGGAGAAGGCGGTGGCAACACAGCTCCAGGTTTTCCTGGAGGATGCTAATATCCTGGATCCCTTCCAGTTTGGTTTTCGCCCTGCCCATGGGATGGAGACGGTGCTGGTCACCTTAGTGGATGACCTCCGGAGATGCCTGGATCTAGGCAGATTGGTGCTGCTGATGCTTCTTGATCTGTCAGCAATGTTTGATATGGTTGACTACGATCTGTTAACCTACCGCCTCGCTGATGTGGGGATACGTGGGCTTGCCTTGCAGTGGCTGACCTCCTTTCTCCAAGGTCGAGGACAGAGGGTGGCACTTGGGGAATTATCTGTGACACTTGCTAGAATGTGGTGTGCCACAGGGTCAATTCTCTCCGAAATGCTGTTTAATATCTACATGCACCCCCTTGCCCAGATTATCCAGAGGTGTGGGCTGGTTAGTTACCAATATGCGGACAACACCCAGCTTTATCTACTGATGGATGGCCACCAGGACTCTGCCCCAGAAAATCTGGACAGGGTATTACAAGCTACAAGCCATGGCTGGTTGGTTACAACAGAGCAGACTGAAACTGAATCCATCGAAGACAGAGGTCCTGTACCTGATTCGCAAGGGACTGGAATCGGGCTTCCAACCTGATGGGGCCCTATTGGTGCCGGTGCCAAAGGTGAAGAGCCTGGGGGTGTTCCTGGATGCCTCACTAACTATGGAGGCCCAGGTGGCCACCACTGCAAGGTCTACCTTTTTCCATCTGAGACAGATCAGGCAGTTGGCCCCATATCTCACTCCCCAGGATTTGGCTACAGTGACCCACGTAATGGTCACTTCCAGATTAGATTATTCTAATTATCTCTATGTTGGGCTGCCCTTGATTCTGCTCCATTAACTGCAGCTGGTGCAGAATGCAGTGGCATGGGTACTGATGTCGCTGCCGGTGCGGGCCCACATTAGCCTGGTGCTGCGCGAACTGCACTGGCTGCCTATTGAATATCGGATCCATTTCAAGGTATCAGTGCTTACCTTTAAAGCCCTATACAGCCAGGGACGTCTGTCTCGCCTCAACTAGGGCCAGGGCCTTTTCAGCCCTGGCTCCTACTTGGTGGAATGAGCTCCCATATGAGATCAGGGCCCTGCTGGACCTTTTACAGTTCTGCAGGGCCTGCAAGATGGAGCTCTTCCCCAGGCTTCAAACTAGGGCAGTGGACATCCCTCCCTCTCTACTAGGCCTCCCCTTAGTGGGTCAGAACTGCATACCAGAGATGGCATCTGTGAGGCCTTAATTTTAACGATAACTTGCATCGGATGAATGATGTTGTATTTTATTGACGTTTTAACTTTTAATTTTTGTATATTGTATTTCGTACCAAATTTGATGTAACCTACCCTCAGCCTGCTATGCAGGGAGGGTGGGATATAAATTGAATAAAATAAAGATTAACTTTTTAATTAAATGTGATTTTAAAATCTTTACTTGTTTCTATATAATAGGAACAGATACAAATGAAAACCGATGTACTTTATACACCTATAGTCCATTTTATTTATTGTGGGGAACAGGGCAGCACCAAGGTCTCCCTGTCTTTTCCAGCATATTTGCAGAATACTAACCCTTGCCTAGTTTAGGGTTAGAAAACCTATTATATTCTTATTCAAGGGAGATTCAATTACTTAGAAAGAGGTTCATCTCTTCTTAGGTTACTCCTTTCAATTAGCAACCTGACCTACTTCTCTATATCTTTCAGTTATCACGATACCCAGCAGCTCCCCATCTCCAGTAAAATGGACACCCAATACTGCATTTGTATGAAGCAAATAAAGACAGGGAGAATTGCTGGAGTAGGGAAGTTTGAATCTGAGAATAGATTTTAAGGGTTTAAAAAACCCAAAGTCCTGTGAAAGCCACAACTTCTGAACTGGAGGCAGGATTCACAACTCTCTCAAGCAAAGCTAACTAGGATTTAAAAAGAACAACAATCACTAGTATCATTAGTTTAAATTACTGTCAAATCCAAAGCAAAAAATCCTGTATGATGCTATGATCAGATATATTACTACCAAAACCAAGCTCTGTCAGCAAAATTATTCCTAAAATTAATCTTTAATAATGAAGGTGTGTAATAAGAGTTCCATGACAATTCCTCCAACATCTCTTCCTCCTCTTAGGTACATTCGACTAGACAAAGTGATGAGCCCCAGGTCACCCAGTGAGTTTCATGATTGAGTAAGGTTTGCCACATCCCAGACTGAAAGAAAAGTTGGGAAGGAATTGCACAAGGCTCCAGCAGTTTTAAGAAGAAATCTATTTCATTATTTGCATTCTTAAACACAAATGGTCAGATATGAGCTCCGAATATAAGAAATTGTGTTAAAATAATTTAAAAACGAATACAGCAAAATTCAGTTGCTGGCACATTTAGCCCATTGTTGTTTATAGCCTATTTGGCAGGGATTTCTGAGGTTTCAAGCAAATGTACTTCCCAAGCCATATTAATTGAGAGGGACAGTTTGCTGTTCAGAATACTATTTCCACATTAAAAAGGTGTGCCTACAGACATTTCCTAGGTATTTTTGCACATCCACATCAGAATGTAAGCAGGGAAAAAGTCACCTCAATGAAACCCATTCTGCTGGTGCAGAATCCTTTAGTGCCCTTGCTGAGGACTGACTCCCATTTTTCCACACTAAGACTGAATAGAACCATAGCAGAGATCGTCTGTGATATACTATCAAATGAATTTTTGTCAGTGCACTTTGCTTAAAAAGCATGCAGTTTTGTTATGTCACCACTTTAAAAGTATTTGTTATTAACTTTTGAACTTGGGGATGCGTAATTTGGGCTTGTACATCTAGCATTTTGAATGTTCGCTGATCCAGTAAAGGTTAGCTCCTCATTTGCTCGATATTATTGATCTGAGTACTGAAGGGCTAGACACCACATGAACAGCAGGGGCAATACCACAGAGGAACACACAAAAGCTTCCCAACATCAGAGTACTTTGCATTTCACTGAGGCCAGCATCCAGAATTCTATATGAAGAATTTGATTGCAATTCTATACGTTCACATGGGGGGGGGGGGAGAAAAGTACCCATTCTTTAAATACCAACCCTTCCATAAAAGGAGTTCAGATTCAGGCAGGTAGCCGTGTTGATCTGAAGCAGTAGAAAAAAGGGTTGCTTACCTGTAACTGGTGATCTTCGAGTGCTCATCTGTGCATTCACACCCATGGGATACAGTGCGCCTGTGCTGGATCGATCGGTATTGTAGCAAGCTCTTAACGGATTTTCGCACCCAGACCTCAGGCATGCGCAGGAACCCCACCACGCATGCCCAGAGTGGTGGGTGTGGACATCCCGCCAGTTCCTTCAAACCGCCAAGAATCAACCCCTATGAAAAATGTAGAAGCTGACAGCAGCAGGGAAGGAGGGCGGGTGGTGTGAATGCACAGATGACCACTCGAAGATCACCAGTTACAGGTAAGCAACCTGTTTATCTTCGACGTGGTCTCTGTGCTTCACACCCATGGGAGATTAGCGAACAGTGGCCTACCTGGAGGAGGTGCGGGCAGGTCATTACTGCGAAGCCGAAGATAAGATGTGACATCCCATGTTGGTACGAGAGTTCTTTCAGACATCTAGGGTGTAGTGCCTTATGAACGTATTAGGCGTAGCTCACGTAGCAGCTCTACAAATGACCATTAAGGTCCCTGGAGTAAGGCAGTTGAGGCTGCAACAGCTCGGGTTGAATGAGCCCTGATAGGGCCAGACAATGGGTGCTTAGTGATAAGATAGCAGAAGCAGATGAGACCTATAATCCACCTTGACATACGCTGAGCCGTGATGCGAGTTCCCAGCCTTGCTGGTGCATAGGAGACAAACAGTTGACAGTCACGTCTCGTTGGACGGGTTTTGTTTAGGTAGAACAGAAGCACACACTTAGTATCCAACATGTGTAACAGCCTCTGCTCTGGGGATGTCGGAGCAGGGAAGAAATCCGGGAGGAAGACCTCTGCTTGTAGGTGAAATTCTGACACTACCTTTGGCAGGAACGAGATGTCAGGTACGAGGCGGATGCCGTCTGGCAAAAATGACAAGTAAGGAGTGTCATGTCTGAAAGCCAGTATTTCTCCAATTCGCCTTGCTGAAGTGACAGCCACCAGAAAGGCTGTTTTCCAGGACAGGAATTTCATGTCGCAAGTTGCTAGCAGCTCAAAGGGTTTCCTGGTGCGTTGGTGAAGAACCAGGGGAAGGTCCCAGGGGACGACAGGACTTTTGATGGGAAGGTAAAGGTGTAACAGTCCCTTCAAAAAATGTGAGAACAGTGTGCATCCTTCAACTTGAACACGGTATGCCGAAAGTGTGGCCAAATAAACATTTAACGAAGAATGTGACAGTCCCGAGTCAGTGAGATACAGGAGGAATTTGAAAACCTTCTCGAGATCTTCGGAGGTGGCTCGAGGGGCATCCTCACCCAAGGAGGAGCAAAACCGTAGCGACTTGTAATGATAAGATTTTCATGTAGTGGACTTTCTGGAGTTTAGCAAAACATTTGCTATGCGGGAGGAAAAGCTGTTGGCGCTACTCTCCAGGCTGTCTTCATTCATGGCACATCGTGGTATAGGAGAAGGGACTTGGTTAGGAACAGAAGGTCTTGTGCTGGAGGAAACGGGTGGTAGACCCCCGCTGACAGATCGAGGATGGCTGAGAACCATGGTTGCCTCAGCCACCACGGGGTTATGAGGATGCAGTCTGCTCTGTTGCTGATGATTTTGCGGACCAGTGGAGGCAGTGGAAGGAAGAGGAAGAGAAATTCTCTGGACCACGGGTAGAGGAGACCATCCCCTAAAGACTATGGGTCCCTGCCACCTCAGCTGTAGAACAGAGGACACTTTTTGTTTGTCCTGGTGGCGAAAACATCTATCTGGGGGAACCCCCACTTGCGGAAGAGTGGGAGAAGGTAAGTCGGATTCATTTCCCACTCG